CATCAACTGCAGGACTGAAAATTGAATCTATCATAAAAACTAAATAAATCGTTGTCGACTTCAGGAGAAACAGTGCTGACCTCCTCCACTTCTGTCAGTGGGAACTTGTTGAAGGGGTCGACACCTTCAGGGGACTTTGTACCCTCATTTCATTTGGTCTCTCCTGGCTTGAAGTCACTGCAGCAGTCATCAAAAAGGCCCAGCGATGACTACACTTCATGAAGGTGCTCAGATAGATTGAGTTGCTGCTCGGGGTCTTCTACAGATCCGGCGTCTCTGAGTGGTACACAAGCTCCACTGAAGCAAACAGAAAGAAGCTGCAGAGCAAAAAACCATCAGCCACCATCTAAGTTCCACGCTGCTTCCTCAAACATCATCTCGCACATTTCATAACCAAGCCACCAGCAGTTTGACCGTTTGTTTTCTCCCACAGAGGCAACGAGTCCAGGACTTGCAGACGTAACTGTTTAGCCATAACACTGAAGCCATCATACATTCACCTCATGTTTAACATGACAATCTTTATGATTATGTAGTGCAACAACATAATTCAATGCACACCTTGTGCAACTTTTAAAGTAGTTTTGTGTGTTCTTTATAAATATGTTGTTGTGTGGCCTCTGCTCTAATGTTTAGACATTTACAGGTCCTTCTAAAAAAATTAGCATATTGTGATAAAGGTCATTATTTTCCATAATGTAATGATAAAAATGAAACTTTCATATATTTCAGATTCATTGCACACCAACTCAAATAGTGCAGGTCTTTAATTGTTTTAATACTGATGATTATGGCATACAGCTCATGAAAACCCAAAATGCCTGTCCCAAAAAATTAGCATATTTCATCCCACCAATGAAAGACAAGTGTTTTTAATACAAAAAACGCCAACCTTCAAATAATCATGTTCAGTTATGCACTCAATACTTGGTCGGGAATCCTTTTGCATGAATGACTGCTTCAATGCGGCGTGGCTTGGAGGCAGTCAGCCTGTGGCACTGCTGAGGTGTTATGGAGGCCCAGGATGCTTCGATAGCGGCCTTAAGCTCATCCAGAGTGTTGGGTCTTGCGTCTCTCAACTTTCTCTTCACAATATCCCACAGGTTCTCTATGGGGTTCAGGTCAGGAGAGTTGGCAGGCCAATTGAGCACAGTAATACCATGGTCAGTAAACCATTTACCAGTGGTTTTGGCACTGTGAGCAGGTGCCAGGTCGTGCTGAAAAATGAAATCTTCATCTCCATAAAGCTTTTCAGCAGATGGAAGCATGAAGTGCTCCAAAATCTCCTGATAGCTAGCTGCATTGACCCTGCCCTTGATAAAACACAGTGGACCAACACCAGTAGCTGACATGACACCCCAGACCATCAATGACTGTGGGTGCTTCACACTGGACTTCTGGCATTTTGGCATTTCCTTCTCCCCAGTCTTCCTCCAGACTCTGGCACCTTGATTTCCAAATGACATGCAAAATTTGCTTTCATCCGAAAAAAGTACTTTGGACCACTGAGCAACAGTCCAGTGCTGCTTCTCTGTAGCCCAGGTCAGGCGCTTCTGCCACTGTTTCTGGTTCAAATGTGGCTTGACCTGGGGAATGCGGCACCTGTAGCCCATTTCCTGCACACGCCTGTGCACGGTGGCTCTGGATGTTTCTACTCCAGACTCAGTCCACTGCTTCCGCAGGTCCCCCAAGGTCTGGAATCGGCCCTTCTCCACAATCCTCCTCAGGGTCCGGTCACCTCTTCTCGTTGTGCAGCGTTTTCTGCCACACTTTTCCCTTCCCACAGACTTCCCACTGAGGTGCCTTGATACAGCTCTCTGGGAACAGCCTATTCGTTCAGCAATTTCTTTCTGTGTCTTACCCTCTTGCTTGAGGGTGTCAATGATGGCCTTCTGGACAGCAGTCAGGTCGGCGTCTTACCCATGATTGCGGTTTTGAGTAATGAACAAGGCTGGGAGTTTTTAAAAGCCTCAGGAATCTTTTGCAGGTGTTTAGAGTTACGTTGTTGATTCAGATGGTTAGGTTAATAGCTTGTTTAGACAACCTTTTCATGATATGCTAATTTTTTGGGACAGGCATTTTGGGTTTTCATGAGCTGTATGCCATAATCATCAGAATTAAAACAATTGAAGACCTGAAATATTTCAGTTGGTGTGCAATGAATCTGAAATATATGAAAGTTTCATTTTTATCATTACATTATGGAAAATAATGACCTTTATCACAATATGCTAATTTTTTTAGAAGGACCTGTATTTTTGTTCCGTACAATGAAAACAAAAATTAATTCAGAGTCATTTATCTTTTGGCTGTGTCCTTCTGCGGGGGTTGCCACAGCGAGCAAACTGGCACAAAATATTTTCCCAATGTTTTACATCAGATGCCATTCCTGTTGCAACCTGGGCTTGAACCAGCAGCCGCAGGATTGCATCAATGACCTCCAAACTACTACACCCCCAATACAATCTAATAAATGTTCACGTACATTTTACTTTTCTATTGCATTTTTAATTCTCTCATCTCGGTCATAATCTTTTAGCATCAAGCTTTTTAAAAGAAAAGAGAACTTCATTCACAGAGTCAACGTTTTATCAGACTGTGTTCCCTGAACAACCTTTGTGTAAAAAATAGGAACAAAAGTCTGTTTGAGTTTTTGTTTGGGCCCAACTTTAAAATGATGAACACCCATTTAAACTGTCCAGGTCAGTGTTAGGGCCCTGACTAATGTCCAAGTGTAACTAACCACATATGTTTCTTAAATATTAGGATAAACACGTCAGGTTAATTGGCTGATGCAATTAATATCACATTAATAACACATTGTTTGACTTTTATATTGACATTTATTAGTTATCCTTGCAGTGTCACAAATTGGTTCAGTGTATTCCAGCTAAGTGAATAAAAATGTTGAGCTATCTCTAAGGTCCCTGCATTTTTACCTGCTGGAATAGCAGTACATTGATTTGATCACACGAAGTCACTGTTGCACACGTCCATTATTCATCTGACTCCACCGCCATCTGAAAGTTTTACTTTTCTTTCTTTACTCAGTTTGATTGTTTGAAAGACATAAAACTCCTCTGACAGCCAGCATGCGTCCACCAACAGTAGGTTAACTGTTTTTTGAAGCAGCAAAAAATAGAAAACACTTTAATTTGTCTTATTAGAGACTGATTTCTGAACTTCTGTGGGAAATATCACGTGATCTTTTTAATGGTTCATTTCAGTTTTTGTTCCTCTTTACAGACACGTGTTTTATCTTCTTTGCCTCAAATGTTCATAAAATATTAACTTGTCTTCTGCTTCCATGTGCTGCGTGTCTCAGACACAGAAGTGAAACTCTTCAGATCTGCCATTGCTTATCTTGGTAAGCTTCTGCTGCTGCTTTTAGTTGGTTAGTTTAAAATGTGGCTAATGAAACAAGTACTATTATAATCTAAAATAAGTTTTTATTTCCTCATTTTATTTCCATCATGTATAGTTGTGCACAATGAAAACCTGCAAAAAAATATTTCACCTGCTTCTAGCGCTGACTTCCATCACTTTATTTCCAGGTAAAACAGCCGGTTTAATCTTTAGTAGCTCTAAGTGTTTACAACTAGTGGAGATTTTGGCAGCATTCCTCATATTGATTTCAGGACATTAACAATTTTGTTTGAGCATTATTTGAAAAATTATATAAAGAAAATACCAGATTATTTAACAATAAAATGGAACAGCATATAATGCGTATGTTTTGGGTTAAATGTGACTTTAATAACTAATAGAAATTACACAACACTGGTTTAAGATTATGAATAGGATTTCTAATGTTTACCTTTCTCTCTTGCGATTGTAGCATAAATAATTTATTTTTCTAGTTTTTAAGGCACAAAAAGTGGAAGTCCCTCCTGCAGTAAGTGGCTCCCTCGGCAGTAACGTCACCTTGCCGTGCCAGTTCATCCAGTCTTCAGAACGGACCTACATAAATCAGGTTCAGTGGGACTTCATGCAGCCAGGAGGAGAAAAAATCACCATTCTTGTATTTAACAGCCAGTATGGAGTGAATGTTTCTGAATCTCCTCTGAAGGGCAGAATAAATATTTCAACACAGTCACTGATAATTACTGACGTGCAAAAGACAGATGAAGGCTCCTACACCTGCCAAATCTTCACCTTTCCTAGTGGTTCATTCAAAGGAACGACCATCCTTACTGTTGTTGGTGAGTAAGAAATTCATCTTTATAAATTATGAACATGATTCCCAATTATGTGTTGAATCAGCACAACATTAGACGTTGTGCTGCATTAAAATTTAACCTCTCCAAGGTGACTGCTAATATGTAAACCCAGGTATTTGAATGACCGAATGGAGAAACCAAATGAACAAATAATAATAATAATAATAACACAACAATGAAAAATAACTGCATGTCTAAAATTTACCAAAAAGACATTTCACAACTATGCACATGTACAAATTATTACAACAACAACAAAAATAACGAGTATCTACAGAATTAAAACTATAATTAGTTTTAGCTGTTTAAGCAGGACATCAACCTTCGCAGATTTTTCTTTGTTTCAGTCTTTGTTTCACCTGAGTTATTATCTTTAAACTGCTCTTCTTGATCTATGAGCAGTTGGAAAATTTATGGTGCTGAATTTTTAGACATAAAAACCACGTTTTATATTTTCATCTTTCATTTTATTATATGATCACAGATGGTCTTAGCAACAAAAATTTAAATAAGTGAAATAAATTACTTTGCTGTCCAGTATGTTGTAAAAAATATGCTTGTATATCCAGTTGAATGACTGCTAGAAATGTGATAATCATATTAAATATTTAGCGTCCTAACATCGTGACCCTAATTTGAAATGGTTGAGGTGTGGCTCTCACAGAGTATCTCAGTTATGAATCTTGTTCCAGAACACAATCCAGCAGAGAATCAGGGGAACCATTTTCAGCTATCAGCAGAGATAACTGCTGCAGTCATCACAGCTTCTGTGGTGTTGCTGGTGATCCTGGCGGCCATAGCTTACCTCATCTTCATCAGAAGGTCTGTGCATTCATGAATTCATGTTGTAGGGTCATAAATCTGTTTAGTCACATATTCGGGGATGTTTTTTCTATATTAGAAGGGGGAAATGACTGCTAAACACTTGTTTTAATATTAACAACAAGATATTTTGACCTGTCTTGTGACAATTTCCTGATATTCAGATTTGTTTTCTGATCTGAAGCACCTGTTTTGTTGTTGTTTCTAAATCAGTGGTGTCGTTTATATATGTTAATTATAATAGTAATAATATTTTTTTATTTATAAAGCCATTTAAAACAACGAAAGCTGCAACAAAGTGCTGTACACATAAAATTGTACATGAAATTGTACACAACAGAACTGGCCAAATTGAGAAACGTCTTTTTTTAGTGGCATATGGATCTGATTATCATCCACGTAGCAGTGAAAAAAGAGCTCATGCTTTCCAAGGATTGATCCCAAATTAAGCAGGTAAAGGGAGAAAAGCAGGGGACCTAAAATAGAGCCCTGTGGAACACCCAAAAAACAGAAGAGCAGTGGAGGATTCAGAACCAGCTTTGACACACACGGTTCTGTCTGCCAGATATGACCTAAACCAGTTTATGATCCAAGTTACAGTTACAGAGAAATTTGTATTTTACCTTAAATATAAATTTCTTAAATATAAATTCATATTTTGTGTCTGTCTTCACACAGTGGAAAAGTACTGTTCTCTGTGCTCAGGGTGATGTGGAATAATGATGACTCATGCATTTCCTGTTTATCAAAATAGAACAATACATCCCATGATTGATGGGTCTTGTCTAACTTTGTGTTTAATCTGAATGGAACAGGAGTACATAAGACAGTCAGCCCAGTTATTGGACAACACAGAGCACAATGTCTTTCTGACCCATTTTTGTGTATTTCTTATCACCTGAAGGAGAGCTATAAAGCTGGATTGAACTTATCATTTACACTCCTCCAGCAGGCTTGTGAAACATCCTGTATGACATGTGTCTGTTTATTATAATAAACTTATTCAAAGACTATTGTAGTGATTTTTTTTTATTTCACCTGTTTCTGCGTAAAAACAATTTAGAGTAGGAAAATCCCCCACGTAATATTAACCACAAGATATTTTGACCTGTCTTGTGACAATTTCCTGATACTCAGATTTTTTTCTGGTCTGAAGCACCTGGATTTTTGTTGTTTAGCTGTTTTTAGTATTTTATATGTGTTCTAAGTTTCAATTCATTTTATAAATCTAATCCAAACTTTCTGGCTTTGTGTCTTAGAAGTAACTCTGCCAGCAGACTTCAAGTCCTTATAGGTGAAAACACACACCTGCTCTCACTCTGTTTATAGTCTATCATACTTGATGAGTTTATCTTTCCAATCAGTTTCAGTTCCCTTAAATTAAGCTTTATTTTATTTTTTATTTTTTTTGCCTTTTAGACACATCTGGTCGACCGGCAAGTGTAAACCAACCATCTTTTATTGTGAAAGAGCAGGTGAGTTTAAAGCCAAATAAAGTTTTTTTTTTCTTTTTTTAATTATTTTTGTCTTGTAAACCTAAATGAAACTTGTAATTGTAAGAAGAGGATGATGGTGATGATGATGCACCAACAGTTTCTCACTTCCTTGCTCACAGGAAGTGGTCTACTCTCAAGTCAAGCTAAAACAATCCAGACCTTCTGCTTCTTCATCCATTGCAGAAAGGCCCAAATCAACGTGTGATGATGTCACATATCCCAAGGTCAAATTTTTATATCAGAGCCACAACTGACACTCTGTGCGTAGTTTGTGCTCGACTTGAGTTTGAAATGTTATTTTCACAGCAATTCACCTTCACTGGAACTTCCTGGAAACCCTTTACCCAAACCTGATCGTAATCACCTGCTTCTTTCTGTAACTGTGGCTCAGGCCCAGTTAGCACAATCATGATGGAGCTAAATGATACAATCAGCATGCACGTGATGTTTGGGTGCAGCTTGCAAATATGTTTTATAAACACCAATCAGTAACAGGAATTAATCATTTGTAGGCATTTAGTTACATGATAGAGATGCTATAAAACGTAATAGCTCTAGGAATTACGTGTGTGTATTTATTTTTTATCTTTAATTTTGCGGCTACATTCAGAGCCAATCTGCCTAGTTAACCTAATAGAGCATATTTAAAATTAAAAATATATATTCTATAGAAAATAACCAGAGCTGTCTTCTCCATGAGCGTTAATTTTTTGTCTGATAGTTGATGAAATTTGTTCATCCCTTATTTCAGGGTTTTATTCTCTGGAGTTCATGAAAATCTCACAGTTCACACATTGCTGAAGTTTTACGCCAAAGCAAAATGCTGAACTTTAGCAGCGAACAAGCACACTGGCTAAAGAAAAGACAAAAATAAGATCAGTCAGTCGGTTGTGAGAACTACAGAGATAACTTGCTAACAGAATCGTCCACTGTGAGCGATTTTCTGCAAACTTTAAACTCGGTAAATTAGGGAAAATAATAACAACGACTAACTGGGTGTCACATGATCTTCCATGTTTTATGGGGGGAACTAAAGGCAATATTGACAGTAACCGTAAGTTCCTGTTCCTCCTTTGTTAACCATGACAGGAGGAAGGTGGATGACAAAAGGTATTAAAAAAAGAAGAAATTTGCCGTCTCAATAGAGAACCACCTGGGCTAAAATGTGACACTTAGACCTGTCGGTATTTGCAAATAAACAAAATGTGAAAAGTAAAAAAAGGACTAGCATTCTTTAAAGGAATGTATATCGCTTTTAATACCACAGTTTCAAAATAAGATTATTTTATGCTGAGAAGGGACTGAGTTATCGATGTTCAGGTCAAACGTAGTGAAAAATAATCTATATTACAGCATTGTGAGATTAAGAGACGTGTTAATGTTTAGAGTATGTGTTGAGGATGAGTCTCAGCTACAACACCAAAACCAGCTCAATATCTGTAAAATTGACTAATATCAATTTCAGCATTAGCTGAAGGTGATTGGCTGTGCCAGTTGGAACTGGGCTGGCTCCAAATTTTGTTGAGTTGTAGAGAAATTAATTTCTTTGAGTTTTCTAAATTCTGTCCAGTCATGAGCCAAACAGGGTTGACACCAAGACAATTAAATCTAAAGCAATAATATTGCACGTGTGCACTCAGAGTATATGTTGAGGATGATGCTCAACTACTAATATGATCAAATTTTAGCTAAGTTTTGTTAAATTGGCTGAACTAAAACAATTTTTTTGTGTTTTGTAAGACTAGCAAAGACGCACACACAAACAGTAAAAATATTGTAGCTGTTTTGCCTTTTTTAATGGATGGGAATATTTGAAGCAACACTGGTGACAAAATGTGATTTAGTCTGGTTTCAAAAGTTCAAACCAAGAGCTTTAAACCACATTGTTGAATTTCACAGGTTTTAGTTACAACATGTTCTTTGTCTTACACATCACTGTGTCGATTTTAACTTGTGAAAACATTTCTCAAGATTCATGTCACAATCCTGTCTGCAGGTGCATCAGGCTCACATTGTTTTGTCTAAAAAATGTGACATTGTATGGTTTGCAGTGGTATTTGTGTTTGACAGTTCACACCAGCAGCCACTGTCACTCGCTCTTTACAATCGGCGTTTCCTGGCAGTGTGATTCTGTGGGTGTGTGGTGATGAGCCAACAGATGTGCGTTCTGCCCTCCAGACTCGCTCTGTGGTGTCAGAGCTGAGCAGAACAAATAGGTTTTTCTGTTTTGAATATCAAATTGTGCACGTTTGTTTTATTTCTTTCATATAAATTTAAGAAATTTGAATGTAACGTGTTTGCAAATGGTTTGGTCTTCTATGCGTCAGACTATAGTGAACAAGTTTGTAAACTTTACAGTTGCAAAAATGTCTCTTTTGGTACTAAATAAAAATGTGTTCAAAAGTTTTAAAGAACTTGATTTCTTGTTTCTATCACTAAGAATATCGTGACAGGAAATAGATGTAGAAAATAAAACACAATCGACAGGAAATAGATTGAGAATATAAGGCATATTCTGTTTGAATGGCGGTCAGTAAAAAAGTCACCTCTTCAATTATTCATAAAACAGAAACATTTTCACTCAAATTGTTGCACTTTTATGAATCAGAAATGTGTAAATAAAATGATAAAAACACAACTTTCAGGCTTGTTGACATATTGTTAGCACCAGGGGCAATTCTAGAATCTGACCTCTAGGGGGTGCTAAGCCCCCAGTGCTGACAGTGGCTCTTGGCTTGAACAACGTGGTGGCCATTGGCGTTAAAAACATTCATAATGTGGGGGGACATACTGGTAGGGGGGGTCTGGGGGTTCATCCATCCATCCATCCATTTTCTTTACCCGCTTATTCCTTTTTGGGTCACGGGGGTCGCTGGTGCCCATGTCCAGCAATCACTGTGCGAGGGGCGGGGTACACCCTGGACGGGTCGCAAGTCCATCACAGGGCCACATAGAGACAAACGAGACAAACAAACATTCACTCTCTCACTCACACCTAGGGACAATTTAGAGTTACCAATCAGCCTAACATGCATGTTTTTGGACTGTGGGAGGAAACCGGAGTACCCGGAGAAAACCCACGCATGCACGGAGGTCTGGGGGTCCTTTCTCAGAAAATTTTGAATAAAATAGATGCCATTTCCTACATTCTGGTGAGTTTTAACGGGTTGTTAAACATCTACGTTTACCTACGTAAGTAAACACTTGATTCAATAACTATTTTAGAGAACGCGACACAACAAGAAGTAGCTCTAAGCTAGTGGCGTGCAATACAGATGCACTAGCTAAGATGCTACAGACATAGCGCTCCACTTAACATTACACAACCTAATAAATGCTTTGTACAAAATCAGTTTAGTGTTAACTGATCATAACAAAGACTAAACTTATCCAACCAGAAGTTGCAACATATATCTACATTTAAAACACACAAAACAAAGCACAACTAGCTTTAAGCATTAACCTTTAATTTAACCATCAATATACAATGTAATCATAACAGAAAATGGACGGTTTACCTGCAGTTACCTTCATACAGATGAACATGTGGTACATCCTGTTTATCACTGTTGTATTCAGCTGCTCATGAGGTCGGCTGCAGGGCTTTATCATCTTTTACATTCTTCCAGATTCAGTTTAGGTTTTGGAAATAGAATAAACTGTATTCCAGCCTCTAAAGCAAAGCTGTTCAACTAAAATGCTCAGGGGGCCACAGTTACTAAAAGCCAGCAGCTCAGGGGCCGGACATCCAGCAGTTAAAGTCATTATTTAAATAAACCAAGTATTAAAATGATCTGTTACCTTTGAAATGTGTTGATTTGGTTGAATCATAACAAACAGAACCCAAACCCAGAACCCGCCTCCAAAAAAACAAAACTTTTTTTTTAACTTTATTTTTAGGGGAGCTGAATTAAAATTTAGGGTTGTTTGGGCACCCCACAAAAGATGCTAAAATCGCCACTGGTTAGCACACTAGCTCACAAGTAGGGCTTAATGAGCTTCAACTAGTTAACTAGTGAGCATTTTGGCATTGCTAGTTAACTGGTGCACACAAAAAAATGTCTGCAAGTCGACTACTGTGAATTAATTTGGTCTTACAGTTTCACTAGTGCACTAGCCAACTGACTGTTCTGTAGATTCACTAGTTAACTAGTAATGCCAAAAAGCTTTAATTGTTGGACTAGTAAGAAAATTGTTTGGGGGACATTTCACAGTAACTATGCCTTCAAAAATGTCAACTAGTCAGTTGGGATATTTAGTTAATTAGTCAGTTTGTAAGGACGAAAACTTGTTAATTAGTCATCTAGTTGACATTTTAGAGCTAGTCAACAGCTTTTTTTGTGTGTCACGTCTGAACTTTAACCTTGAAGCCTGACGTGCTCAGTAACAGTAATGTCTGTGGTTGCACACATTGCATGATGCACTTTGTTTACCAGGTTTACTGCTACTTTGTTCAAGTCAAATGGAAATTTGTAGTCTGATCTGAGCTTTTAAGGGTGTATTTTAGCAGCATTACTCACTATTTTCATCACAGTTACCTTTTCCGTTTGTTTTTTTTTTATTTTAAATCTTCAGTTTGACTCTCACTCAGTTGAAATTATACTAATATGTTTGCAGTATAAAGTTTGTTGGAGCAGTTTTCTAACAGCAGTAGTTTGTGCGTCAACATTTTCACAATTTAACCACTTGAGGTCGCTGTTGCTCTTTTTTAGATTCATTAACAGAACTGCCCAGCCAACATGTTACTGTTGCGTATGAACACTTTTAGAATATGAGAAAACGTGTTCCTGAATTATATAATACAAATGGACTGCTGAAGAATAGATTTAAGTTGATCATTGGGGATTAATGCTTTATTTTATTGTCACTTGTGGTTTTATTCGGTCACTTTACCAGCTGATAAATTTGCAAAACTATTGTAGTTTATTATTTTCTAACATTATTTAAAGTAGATTATTTTATT